GGTAAAGTTATATCGGAAAGAATAAACCAGTTTTATAAAGTAAAGAACTTGTGTTGCTAAAGTTTCGTCGGAACGAAGTTACGGAAAGTTAATTAACAAACGGAGACGTAACAATACCAATTTTTGTACCTATTTTTGTATATCTAATTCTATAGTACCAACTTTACCACCGTCTATATTTACTAGCATTTATAGCATCTTAAGCCATTCGCCTTAAAAGTTCACAGTTTCGAAATATAGCTTAATATACGTGTGTACTCAGTCGTGTAGCCTAAGTACTGTTTGTTTGTTTGTAATTAAGCACAAGGCTACACAATGGGCTGAAATCAGAGGTTCGATTCCCCTTGGTAGACACAGCAGATAGCCCGATGTGGCTTTGCTATAAGGTAACACACATACATTACATACAATCTAATCAAAAACACCTTAAGTGTGAAAAAAAAGGTGCGGCCAAAAGATAATTGAGTGCGCGTCTTAAAAGAATGAAATGAAAATTGGCAGCCAAACTGGTAGCTACACTTTTTGCATTGATAAGAATTTTACAGCAAATATTCGTTCATTAGTTAGTCAGGCCGCATTTTTTGTTCAACTTGGGGCATGATGGTGAGTAATACAAAATACGCGGCCAGCAGATAGTCCAAAGTAACTTTGCTCTAAAACAACCAACCAAATTTTTATGGCGTCGCTACGTGCGTAGAGCAGAAATTTTATGCCGCAACACTGACACCTACTGTTTAAAGTACGTACTGTAAATAAACGTATTTTTAGTTAATGGATGCACTGACTCTCCTTATATTACTTGGGGTTTAATATTTTGATTTGAAGTACGTCATGTATTATTGTATGCTGTTGCAGTACGGTAGTGAACTTTTTGTTATACTTAAAGGCACGTATTTGTTTTATAATGTAATTGTTACTGTGTTCTATTTTGCTTGTTTGTTCATTATTATGTTTAATTAATCAACAATGCCACGTTAAAAATATTGTCAAGACAGCGGAAGTCACGTGACACGTAATGAGTAACTCGAACATTCGTGAAGGCTCGAGCGTTTACTAGACGCACGCTCTTATTGTATATAAGCCGGCAAATAAAGTGACAGCGTAAATAATTGAATTTCAGACAGGCAGAGATAGAGATAGACAATTGAGTCAAGCGCGGTAGTAAGAAAGTGCGTGAATCGTTCGTTGTGAATTATAGCGTGTGTTCAAGTTAAAGTGGCTGTGGAAATTAAGTGTATTGCAAAGTTGAATTGAGAAAGAATAAACTAGTTTTATTTAAGAAAGGACTTGTATCGCTAAAGTTTCATCCGAAGAAATTATACGGGAAATTAGCCAACGAACACAGAGGCGTAACAATATTTATGTGAGTGATAATGTGCTTTAAAGTTTCGTTTTACCTACATATGTTACAGATTTTTCTTCCAACTTCACCAAAGGTAAACTTAAAAGCTTTCTTTTGCCTAAGTCAGTTGCGGTTCTTTAATTGGCTGCAAGAAGGTGCTCATGAATGCAAGTTACTATATAGTAATAGTAACGCAAGAGCCACTACTCCCCCCCCCCCGGAAAATTTTGCCCCTCTCTGGAAAAATTTCTGTGGACGCCCATAGCAAGAGCATCAATTAATCACATGAATAGAATGCTTGACCGCAGTCTATGAGTTACGGAATCGAATCCTGCCACCGAACATCCTCGCATTTCAGCCGTGGGGACGGAGGCGGTATAATGTCAATCCCAATATTCGTTGGTAAAAATACTGTAGTCCAAGAGTTGACAGTGAGTGGTGTTGACTTCTTCACTTTAGATAGCCCTCGCGTAGCTTCGCGCGAAATTCAACAAAACAAATAACCATTACGTGTACATAAAAAACGTGATTTTATTTGTATTAAAGTCATGAAAATATGATTACTGTTCTATATAACGTATTTTTAAACTGCATATGAATATTTTATTCCATTTATATGGACTACCTGTAAGACAACAGGAATTTCAATCAATTCAATCAAACTAGTGGTTATGGTGACGGCTACCGTAAAATTATGCAAATTAATACTAACGAAGGTTCCCAATTTTTGTTAAAGTTATAGACATTATACATTGGCATACAAAATTCAACAAAAACATTGGTACTTGTTATATCAAATCATTGACAAAAAATTGCAAAATATGTTATAAATTTTCAGAAAATAGTCTTCATTTTGAAATCCGAACAACAACACCTAGATTTTCTTTTCTTAATATGTGCACAAGTTCGTGATAGCAGTAAAAAGGGTTGGAATTATTATATTCTGTAAATAAATATAATTATTTACCGACTGAGGTTTAAGATTATTAAATTATTCCACCCTTCCTGTTTAATTATGTAATACTCTAACCAAAAAGGCTACAATAGGCATTCTCTTTCGGGTCTATTTACGATCAAAAGTAGCTACACGTTTGGAAAAGTAGTCAAGAAAAACGTTTTGTTTGTTGTTAAGAAAATCAACACAATTAGTCAGGCGCTTAGCGCAATATTTTGAGGTTACCGTTATTGAGCTGATACAAGCACCAAATTTGGCATGAAGTTTCTTTTGGTAACACTTATCAAACTTTGCCTAGGAGCCCTCTTGAAATATCAAGGGTTTCTGTATAATACATCAAAATCCAACATCGCCACCACCCGCCATTTATATTATGCTTAGACTTGTTGCAACTGTCAGAATAGCACTTAATTATGAAATTTTAAAACTACCGAACATTCTATCAATATTTTTTTAGTGTCAGGGCACTATAGCCAACTATTTTTGTTAGTATGAATAGGCGCAGCCCATGCCACGCACGGGTAATGGTGCAAAATGTGTGGTCCTACAGCACAAATTGCAATCAATGTATATTTTGGTTAATTCGGAACATACTGTCTGTAGGTGGCTATAGAAGTAGCAAGTTGATCATTCTACACACACTGTTCTGACTGTCTGATTGTGTACCACATTTACAATTGCACAGAGGGGAACAGTCAAGATTGGATTTGCTGCATTTGCATTTTGAGCAGTATCCATTACATGAGCATCTGATCAATTCCCTGCAGGCTTTAGAGACTTCAGGAATTGTGATCCAAACAGGAACCCATGTTTCTGACACTCTAGTCCATGCAAATTCCTTTGGGAAAGGAACCACTTGCTGTGTGTATGCTGGTAGTCCAGCTTTCTGCTTGGTATAAGGCACGTCTCACGTGTTGAAACAAAGCATTCTTGGTGGGTGGCAGTCTGTTTATGGGTACATTCCTCTGACAGAAAAGTTCATTCCTTACTTCATTTACACTGTTAGAAGTACTATTATTATCGTACAATATGAAAATCAGCCTTTCCAATTCAGAAAACACAATCGGATTCTTCACTCATAACGTGGAAGGGATAACTAACCAGATAGGTGAACGTTTCTTGACCTCACTGTGGTCCTGCCAGGCTTGCCACACTGATTTCTTGCCCTTGCCTTTGAATGCTGATGTGGTGTCACAACAAGATATTGTTTGAAAAACTGGAAATTCTTGAGACCTACCATCTCTAAGGCTGACACAGAGGGCGTTGATATTGTAGA